CTACCACACGTTATCTGATATGGCATATTCCAGGGGTAAAACCCAAGGAACTTTTCTCTTTTTGTTATTGATTTTTCTTCTCTCCAAACTGCTGTGTACCTGTGAATATCTGGCTTTCCATGATCTTTACCCAGCCTGTAACAAGAATAGTACTCTGACCGTCTTTCTCTAATGGACCCAGAAATCGTAATCTATGGGATACTGCCCCATAGAAGAGGAGTCTAGGAGAGCAGGTCAAGTATGTCCTCCTCCAAGCTCAAGAAAGGTCCATCCCAACAAGTAGGAAACCAAGCAAAATCTGCAGGAGGCCTGAATGGATGAGCTCCCAGCTGAACTCAGACATAAAAAGGAAGTGTACAAGAGGTGGAAGCAGGGGCAAGTGACACAGAAGGAGTATACGTTTGCTGTATGATCTTGTTGGGATTGGGTTAGGAAAGCCAATATGGACCTGGAGTTGAATCTGGCAAGGAATGTGAGTGGAAGCAGGAAAGGATTCTACAAGTACATAAGCAGCAAGAGGAAGGACTGGGAAGAACGGGCCTGCTGCTGAATGGGACAGGGGAACTGGTGACTGAGGTACCTGGGGCCTTCTTTGCTTCAGGAATCCTGGGCGCCTGAGACCAGAGGAAAAGTCTGGAACAAAAAGGACTTACCCTTGGTGGAGGATGACCAGGCTAGGGAGCACTGCAACAAACTGGATATACGTAAGTCCATGGTTCCTGACTGGTTACAGCCACGAGTGCTGAGGGAGCTGGCTGATGCTGTTGTGAGGCCGCTCTCGATGGTCTTTGAACAGCCATGGGGATTAGGAGACGTTCCTGAAGACTGGAAGACAACAAATACCACTCTTGTCTTCAAGAAGAGCAAGAAGAAAGATCTGGGGAGCTACAGGCTGTCTAGCCTCACCTCAGTCCTTGGGAAGGGTGATGGAAAAAATCTTCCTGGAAAATGTCCTTCCAAGCATATGAAGGACAAGAAGGTGAATGGGTCAAGTCATCAGGGATTTACAAAGAGGCAGGCACACTTAAACAACCTGATAGTCTTCTACAGTGAGATGACTAGCTTGATAGATGAGGGGAGAATGGCAGATACAGTTTACTTCAACTTCTTCGACATTGCCTTTGATGTTGTCTCCTGTAACATAAACATGCTGACAAAGTATGGGTTAGGTAAATGGACAGTGAGGTGGACTGAAAACTGACTGAATGACTGGGCCCAGAGGATTGTGATCAGCGGCACAAAGTCCAGCTGGAGACAAGTCCCTAGTGGTGTATCCCCTGGGTCAGTACTGGAGCCAGTACTGTTCAACGTGTCCGCTGATGGCCTGGATGACAGTACAGAGCGTATCCTCATCAAGTTCGCAGATGGTACAAAACTGGAAGGAGTGGCCAACGCACCAGATGGTTGTGCCACCATTCAGAGAGGCCTTGACAGGCTGGAGAACTGGGCAGAAATGAATCTATGAAGTTCAACACGGGGAAAATGCCAAGTCCTATATCTGGGGAGGAGTAACCCCAGGTACCAGTACACGCTGGGGGCTGACCAGCTGGAAAGCAGCTTTGTTAGGAAGGACCTTGGGATCCCAGTGAACAAGCTGACCGTGAGCCAGCAATGCACCCTCGTGGCAGAAAAGGCCAACTGTATTCTGGGCTGTATTGGGAAGAGCATTGTCAGCAGGTCAAGGGAGGTGATCCTTCCACTTTACTCAGCACCTGTGAGGCTGCATCTGCAGAGTTATGTCCAGTTCTGGGCTCTCCAGTACAAGAAGGATAAAGACTTACTGGAGTGAGTCCAGCTCAGGGCCACAAAGATGATTAAGGGACTGGAGCATCTTCCATGAGAGGAGAGACTGAGAGAGCTGGGATTCTTCATCCTGGAGAAGAGAAGGCTCAGTGAGAATTTTATCAATGGGTATAAATACCTGATGGGAGGGAATGAAGTCAAGGGAGACAGATTCTTCTCAGTAGTACCCACTGGCAGGACAAGAGGTAGTCAACACAAAAATCAAAAATTAAAGAACAGGAAATTCCATCTGTACACAAGAAAACAATTCTTTAGTTTGGGAATGGTCAAACACTGGAGCAGTTTGCCCAGAGAGGTTTTGGATTCTTTATCTGTGGAGATTTTAAGAACCTGACTGGACGTGGTCCTCAACACGGTACTCTAGCTGACCCTGCATGAGCAAGAGGTCTTGCCTATAGGTGATCTTAACAGATCACTTCCAACCTAAACAGTTCTGTGATTTTTGTGAAGGACTTTTTAAGTCTCCCTTCGTTGTTTTTTGCAGATTAGGATTTCATGAAACAATAATGTTACTGAAGGAGAAAAGGCAAATATGTCCTTCAGTTGTACTGCTTCTTATTTTGCACCTTAAGAGGAAATATTTTACTGATTTCCTCTGCAGTGTCTTTGTCTGTTGAAGGTAACTGCTTTATTTTTCTCCACAGGTTAGTAACAGTTCTGGAGAGACATTAGGAGCCGACAGTGACTTAAGTAGCAATGCTGGTGATGGCCCGAGTGCGGAAAACGGTGGCAATTTGACAGGATCCAGAGGCACTGTGTCAGACAGTGAAATTGAGACAAACTCTGCTACTAGCTCTATTTTTGTAAGGGCATTGCAGACTTCCCTTTTGGATATTTTTTTTTAAATTAAATCTTGTACAGTAATGATTTCAATGTGTATGCATGTGTGGAAGAGGATCTCTGATTCTGTTCTAAGGGTTAATCGATATAGAAGTATAATATTAAAATATTAAAGATGTAATTTTGTATGGATCCACGTACCTTTCTTCGTTTCCTGTGCAATACATGGTTCTTTGAGAATAGTAGATTCACATCTCACACCATATTGCAGGGTCTAGCAATATTTAATTCTCCCTCATTCAATATTTCTCTCAACCAAATGGAGATTTAATTGCCCTTCAGAGGCAAAACAACATCGATGGGCATTGTTCAACCTTACCTAACTAAGAGGAAAGGATTCCTCTGTTTCTTAGGAGCAGCTACTTGATACAGGAAAGGGATGACCCATTGTAGATTTAGCAGCTGTTCTGTTTCCTTAAAACATTAGTTTAATCCTGTTTGAAGTGTAATCATAACTTTTATTTTCCTAGCGGAAAGATCTCTATGCAGTAAAATTCAAATTCTGGTTTTTCAAGTCCTTGATTACTTGGTATAACCTCTAATATACATCTTAACAAGCAAATAATCATATACTCCATTTGGCTAAATCAAGCTGTCCGCCAAATAGGAAAACAACTTGCAATGCCTAAAGATTGATCTCACTGTGTTCATTATTTTATAATCCGGATAAGATTGTAAAAGGTTTTACAAGGCTTCTACTTCTAAATTTAAGCAACACACAAAATCATCGTGCTTCATTGCAGATTTATTCTAAAAGCATGAAAATGACATAACTATGTCTACTTTTTTAGCTGCAAGAGGATGTTTTCTTAGTTACTAAAGAGTTAGACTTTTTTTTAAAAACACTGTGTTTTCTGCATTTTTCTTCTTGCTTAATGAAACTAAATGGAATTTTAAGAACCCTTGAAACAGATTTAGAACAAAGATGATGGGTGTACATGATGAATGTCAAGTATCCCACCATAGTTTACCTGGTGGTAGAGAAATAGATAGGACAGCTTTATTACCACAGTTCCTGCTGGCTGATAGTCCCAGCTCACAGTTCTTCAGACCAGATGATATGTAATCATTTGCTTAATGTCATACCTTTATGAATGGTAAATGAAAGAAAAACCTGTAAAGTCTGAATGTGAGATAGAGCTCAGGTAGTCTTACTCTGCTTGTGAATATTCGTTTTCTATGTAGTCCTGAGAAGGCTGTGTATTTCTTCCTCTGTTCCTCACAATCTGTACAATGACAGTGATACTGAGCTATTTCCTAAACACTGGGAAAGATTTGTTATTAGAATTTGAGCAAACTTACTGCCCAGAAAAGGTTTAACTCTTCTTTCCTTTAGTCTGGGATTTGCATTTTTTGTTTTGTCTCAGTTTTCCTTCAGGGAAGCATTTTGCTTCCTCTGTGCTTTGATTTCTCTCTCTGTCTCTGTTTGTTTTGCCATTGTCTGACCCTGGCTTTTAAGTGTATTACCTTGCTCTTTGAACGGAGTAATTTATTTGTTTTGTGAACATTAGTGGGAGAAGTGTCTATGAAGTATAGCTTGCAAACTGCGTCTGTTAAGCACAACAGTGAACTGCAAGAAATAGCCCTGCAGGGCACAGAGTTAAGTTGTCTGACACCTCTTTTGTATTATTTTCAGGCGAAGTCTCACAACCTGAAGCAGAGCGTGAAGGATAGCAAAGGCAGTACTCCAGGGAGAGGTCCAGAGGATGGAAACCAACGTGTCTATCTCTATGAAGGACTTTTGGGTAAACTACCTTTTTTTTGCGAGGAAGGGATCTTTTAGACTGAAGTTCAGGTGGAGTCATGTCTGGAGCAGACTGGAATTTTTACATTCCCAGAGACTGTTTTTAACCACTTGCTGTTGTCTGCTCTGGTAGAACAGGAGGGTGCATCAGGCCATTCAGAGCAAAGCCAAAGATTTGCTGGGGAAATTGCGTAAGAGTAAGAGTAGATAGGTGTGAGTGGTGTCGTATGCATAAAATGTAGCTTGTCCGAGTCTCTTGCTGTTCTTGAATATGAATTCTTTAAACTGTTGGAAAAAGGGGAGAAGGAACTTAGCTATGCATATAGGGCTAAAACGTATCACTGATCTTGGAAAAAGATCCTTCAGCTTAAGTCATTGAACAGAGGGCTACTAAACTGAGAATGCTAATGACCTTCAAGTGTATCCTTGAATTGGGAGTGTATTGGCTTTTTTGAAATGTATTTCATCTGAACTTGCTGTTAATCAAGAGCTCTGTCTTCCTGTGTTTTTCATCCTTTCCATTTATCGTTCCTACCTGCTTGGAATGGTGCAGGTAGGGATAAAGGATCTGTCTGGGACCAGTTAGAGGATGCTGCAATGGAAACCTTCTCTATGAGTAATAATCTTATCTTTCCATTTCTGTGTGTGTTTGCCATGATCTGTGTTTGTGTGAGATATTCCTATCTCTTTGGGCAATGTTAACAGTATATAGAAGAAGATATACTCCTTAAAGAATAGAGATGAGAGATACTTCTGTGTGAGGGTTTGAAAAGATTATGCCATAAATTAGAATGAGAGATATGTCTTATCTTCTCCTTTACACTTCTCTTCATTTGTGATATTGCTTGTGGTTTAAAAGTAACCTTTTTTTTTTTTTAATATGGATTAATTGTGTGTTGGCTCATGGTGTTTTAAGGAGTGGGAAGGAACAGGAATTAATCTTAAGGTGTTTGACTGGAGTAAATGGAATAAATGCTCAAATTTTGTATACATTGCATAGGCAAAGAGCGTTCAACTTTGTGGGACCAGATGCAGTTCTGGGAAGATGCTTTTTTGGATGCTGTGATGTTAGAGAGAGAAGGAATGGGGATGGACCAGGGACCTCAGGAGATGATTGACAGGTAAAATGCTTTAGTAGACCTCTTTCTTCCTCATTGGGCTGAAATAGTAAAAAAAAATTTTAATTCTGCTGAACATGCTATTGTCACTTTGTAAACTTTGTTACTATGCCTGGCTGTTCTAAAGTGAGCCTTTTGTCTCTGTGCTGGCCAGTATTTCATGATACTGAAATGCTATCTTCAGTTGTTACATACATTTATTTTTTTTACTCTTATGAAGAGGTGATACTTCCAGAGAAATGCGTAATGTAAGCATAATCACAGTATGAATAGATGGAATAGACCAGATTAGTAGTAAAGCAAGAGATTTTTATGGCAAGATGACTATATTCTGGAATAAAGGAAGGTATCAATGTGTTGACATTGATAGTCAAAGTGAAAGAATTAAATATCTTCAGAAACTGCATTTAGAGCCTTCTAAAAATACAAAGTCACTTATAAGGGTTTTTACTTTACATTTGTAGTTAAAAGAAACAAATGAAAAAAACATGAGGGAACCACTCTAGAAATATCTGTGTGGTTGCTTAAAGCTAGACTACTTCTAAGATGTCAGTCTTCACTACCTGCTTGCTGCACTTTTTTTTTTTGTCCCCTCAGCTCTGTTAATATCTGATAATTCTCTGCTCTGTGTACCACTTGCAGCTGTACCACCTACACCCATCCTATCATGTAACATAGGATCTGGTAGCCAAAATAAGAACTAGTTTGTGGGGTGCTAGTTTGAGAACTGTTTCTTTTTCCACTACCTACCTACCTTACTGGAAAAAGAGAGTGTCTGTGCACTTCCTTCATCACTTTACTTCTGCCTTGCAGCTGTATTTAAGCTCTAAAGGCAGGTAGCTCTTGTACTGAGTTATATGTTCCTCTTCTGGCAGTTGTAATTGTCATGGAGCTGTGACTACAGAAAAGAGGAAATGGATAAGCTCAGCGGCCCACTGAGCACTTTCCCACTGAGCAGATGTTATTTACTTCAACTAGTTAATAATGAAAATGTTTAATTAGTGATCACAGTGTTTTACTGGAAAATGCCCATTTGGCTTAGTGTTTTTGGAGGTTTTATTTGCCATACACTTTACAAACTGCTCTGTCCTCTGCCAGTGCTTTAGTGAATTGGATGAAGAATGCCTGTGAGTCTGCGTCAGATCTCGCTCTCTTGCAGGTATCTTTCCCTGGGAGAACATGATCGAAAGCGTTTGGAGGATGATGAGGACCGTTTGTTGGCTACACTGCTGCATAATATGATTGCTTATATGCTTATGATAAAGGTGAGTTCTTTTTAATAGATCACTGCTCAGACTTTAGCAGTATATTTGATTGGTGTTGTCTTGAAACCGTACTTCTCTATTCACAGAGCTCAGAACAGTGAAGTGTAAAATAATGTTATAAAACATCTACTAATCTTAATGAAAAAATTTCTTCAGTACCTGGAGATTCTTTGAAATACATTGTCTGAGTTTGCATAGTTTTATGCCATGAGTATGCATATGCATTGCCATTTAAAATAGAAATTGACTATTTCTACTAGTAACTTTACAAGACATTCTTATTTTTAAGAGTATGGGTTATAAATTAAGTAGCAAGCATCTTCGAATCTGATTTCCTCACAGCTGCAAATTTCAAATGTGGGCAGATCGCTAATATGCGTATCAATAACTTAACATGAAATTTCCCATTACTAGTAATGTTACTCATTCAATGGGCTGTCTATATTCACCTTAATGCTGCAGGTGTCTAGAATTTAGTCTTAATAATTTCTTAAATAGTCCAAATCCTCCCTCAAAGTCACTAGAAAATCAATCTTTTAAATTTTTTGTCATGTTTAGAACCAGCTTAGGTGCATGATTTTACCTGTAACAGATTTGATGCACTATGCTGTCCAATGAAACAGCCTGACAGTAAGAATAACTGTACACATGTGATAGTTTGATAACTTTCACTGTTTAAATGAGGAGGTGAGACATCATTCCATAGATAAAGAATGTGTGATATCAACCAGTGAAAGAAGTTATTGTATGGAATTATTGTTTTGCTGGGGGGGGGGCGGGAAGGAGAAGGTATTGATTTTTCCTGACATAAATGGAATGTGAAGGTAAGTTTTAAGATGGGATTTGAGTATCTTTGGAATGAGTTTATTTCAGAAGACAGCTGTGGGATTTGGCCATTAAGACTTGCATTGCTGCAATACTTAGAATTAATCATAATCAGTGCAGCTACTTTCATGAAAGGATACAAAAGAGCAGAGCAAATAATATTGGTTTCAAAAGGCTGTCTCATGACCGACATTGATAGAGTTAGTCCCAAAGGGGAAGAGTGTCTTTTGGGTGGTGAAAATAATCAGATCCCCAAGAAAACGGTTTCCTGGGGGAAAGGGATAAGGAGGGAAACGGGATATTATGCCTTTGAAAATGATATCATTCTGGGCCTATCAGTTATAGATGAAAAAGGAATACAGGGGATCTGAGAGTTGTGACAAAAATAGCTTCTTTCAGTGTGTCTTCAGAGATGTTCGAGATTGAGGATGGGATGAAGAACTGGGCAAAAGAAGGGTTGTGAGGTGTTGGAATTTTTTCATTATTGTTGTGGTTACTTTTTTTTCCCCTGATTATCAGTTTTGGGATGAAAGGTGATGGGTCTAGAATTTGGTATGTATTATTTGTATACAGGATTTTTTTCAAGCAGTTAGAGTGAAGGTTTTAAGAGACTAAAGACTACCAAAGTATCTCATCTTAGGGCAGCTTCTAGTAGAAACTGCAAAATTGGAAGGCCTTTTTTTACTAGAGAGCTGAATTCTTCTGAACTATCAAGGGAAGCATAATCCTCAAAACCCAACACTTTGGTATTGGGTATTTATTTTCTTGTTTTGAGATAGCAGAGCCTAGTAGTTTTTACCTAAAAAATTCTTGAAAAATACAGCACTTGCTTTCCAGTGCAAAGAATTCTTGCCAAATCAAGTTGAGTTTGAGGTTGAGTTGAGTTGCAGGTTAAGTTTGTTTTGTATGATCTACAGCATTAAGGGCATAGTCACAATATGATTAAAAAGAATGTCTGATCTAGCTTGAAGTCAGTGCTCAAGCATGAGTGTACTGCCTTGAAGTCTTTAGTATCAATGGCTGACATACATAATAGCCTTTTGAAATGGCCCCTATCATGGTTTAACCCGGCTGGTAACTAAATACCGCACAGCCGCTTGCTCACTCTCCCCAGCTCTTGGGGAATGGGGAAGAGGATTAATGGGGAAAAGGGAAGGAGACTCATGTGTTGAGATAAGACCAATTAAATAGTAATAATAATAGAAAATTAAAAGTAATAGTGATAATAACAATAATATAATAACAATAATAAACGGATGTATATAGAGATAATAATATATACAAACAAGTGATGCACAGTATAATTGTTCACCACTCGGTGACCAAATGCCAACCTGACCTGGCAAATGATTCCAAAACAGGTAAGTCCTGAAACCGCAATCCTGGATGAGCGAGAGGCCTGAAAAGAGGATGAGAGAGAGAGAACTCTGAAAGTCCGAGAGTCTGAGAGACCCCTCAGAAGAGAATTCCAAATGTCCCAGTCAACCCTCAGCAATATACTGGGCATGACGTTGCATGATGTAGAATATTCCATTGGCCAATTTGGCCCTCAGTCCTAACTCTAAGTTCAAATCATAAGGGGAATTGTGGGCCTTTTGTCTTGGCAATGCTCTCCCTCAGCCTGTTGTGCTCCTTCACACTGGCAAAACATAGGAAGCTGAAAAGTTCTTGCTGTCTTAGTACCAGCTATAAGCATCAGTGCACCATCAATATTCTTCTCACAACAAATCCCATACTAGATCCAAAACACAGAGCTATTCCAGCTACTAAAAAGAAAAACTAAATCTATCTCAGCCAAAATCAGGATGCATCTGAGGCAGAAATGTTTCGCTTCTGAGCTTTCATGCAGCTAATTTCAGGAGGAACCTGCTGCTGTTTGAGGCCTATCTGGAAATGTTTGTTAGAGCCCTGGCCTAGTGACCAGGAAACAGATCGTGAAAGAGTGAGAATTCTGAAAGATGCCATGCCTCTATGTTAATATTTCTTGTGTTAAGGGCTCCACAGTTGACTACTCCACAGTTGACTAAATCAGCTCTTTGCAGAGGAAGATGTGGAGAAGCTAGCCTGGCAGATGAGACTCATCACATAAGTAGCAACATGGAGAACTGAGGCTTTTGATGTCAGTAGTTGGAAGTGGAGAGTAGTGAAATTGTTGCTTTTGTGCAAGAGTATGCAAGAAATCTGTTGTGCACAGCATCACTTGCCCAGTAGCTGGGAAAAGTGATGTACCTGCAACTTCTGCTTGTAGTGCTGGGCCTATCATGACTGAGATGGAAATCCGTTGTTTTGCTATCTTTAGCAATGGAAACCGAGATATGTTGATTTTGGGAGACAGGAGTTGTCATCTGTGAATAGAGAAGAGTATGTAACTGTCTATATCTGCCTTCTAGGTGAACAAGAATGATATTAGGAAAAAGGTACGTCGTCTAATGGGAAAATCACATATTGGATTGGTGCACAGTCAGCAGATAAACGATATTCTAGACAAACTCGCCAATCTGGTAAGTAAAACAGTGTTGAATGATATATCTGTGGGACCTACAGTGGAGGAAAAAAAGTATCTGAAAATTCTTCTATAAATGCTCTACAATACTAATTTTAAAATAATTTAAAATAATTAAATTTAATTATTAAATACTGACTTCACATGTATAAAATAAAGACTGATTGTATGACCCTGTTTGTAAAATTATAATGTTATGCAGTTATCAATACAAATACGTATAAACATAACACTTCAGTACCACAGTTCTATGCAACCCTCATGTTTTCTTAGTATTACTTTTGTGGGTGGGAACCTTTATTCTTACTATGACTGTAACAAGCTTATTGTTTTCCATCAGTTTCCAGGTCATTTATAAGACTTGTAGCAATCCGTTTCTATACGAAACTGTTTCCACTGTCAGCTGCCATGCAGAATAAACCTTATGTCCTGTAACGCTCATTAAGAATATAGGCTAACACTTAAGTTAATAAAACCAGCCAGCTTTTAACACAACCATCACCAGTGTGGATGCAAGTTAGGCCCTTTGAAAGCTAATTTTTCAAAGCATTTTTGCATTTGGAACTTAGTTTTATGCACAGAAAAGACACAAAATTATCTTACAATTAGTTGTGAAAAAGCAGACCAGTTTAATATTACTGGAAGTCAGACACCTCATTATCTCATACTGAGCATGGTACCAGCATGGATGTTGTTGTATACTGTGATAAGTCTCGCAGTCACAGCTGTTGAAACTAAACTTGTCACAGCTGTTGAAACTAAACTTACTGGCGTATCTTGTTTAAGACTTTGTCCAAAATTGCCTCCAATCAGCTGTGTTAAAAATACTTCTTTTTTTCTTTCATTTGTTGAAAATACTTCTAGTGTCACCTAATGGGACTTTTTTTCAATAGATCAGAAGAAATTCGTTTCAAAGTTCATGAATAATTGCATATTTTTTTCTCTAGAATGGACGGGAACTCCCAGTGAGACCCAGTGGCAGCCGTCATATCAAGAAGCAGACTTTTGTAGTACATGCTGGGACAGACACAACAGGAGACATATTTTTCATGGAGGTAGCGACAAGAATAATATTAATACAACTAGTAGCATTCAATAAATAATATTAGAAATCTTATGTAATATTTTGTTCTCCCAGGTATGTGATGATTGCATCGTGCTGAGAAGCAACATTGGAACTGTGTATGAACGGTGGTGGTATGAGAAACTCATCAACATGACCTACTGTCCCAAAACAAAAGTGCTATGCCTCTGGCGGAGGAATGGTCAGGAGACACAACTGAACAAGTTCTACACAAAGAAGGTATGCGTCTTGTTTAATACACACAATTCTGAGGGAAAACTGCATAGCACAGACAAATCCTTGGTGTGTTGTATTCCATGTTTAATCAAAAAGTAGCATTCTGTCTGCAGTACTGGTTACTGAACTGCAATGGCTGTTTAACTGCTCTGACATCTGAAGCTGGCATCATGCCTTGTCATTTACCTGAAGATAGTAGTACAGCAGGATGTAATTTAAGAACTTACATGTATAGCTTTTACTCGTTTTGGTTAGAAGAAGGAAAGCATCAGTATCACTAAATATTGCGTGAGATTGCAGGCTTATAAAGGTAGTAAAAATAGTGTGGTAGATTCATGGGGAAAAAGCTGAATAAAGCTATGTCTTAGTAATTGAGTTAATTGCATCATTTTTAATGGCAAACAAACGGACAAGTAGATGAAAATTTTTCTTCATGGGCCCATGTTTGATTTTTATTTGGTATATGCCTACATTCTCTACTAATATGAAAGCCCTTTTCTTCTCCTTATGATCAATTGCAAATATAAAGAAATAGCTTAAATCCACTAGGAAAACTTCAGTAACTCTTAGAACTCCAGTAATTCCTACCCAATAACCAGCAAACAAAAGGTAAAGGTTTGTGAATGCAAGTATTATATTGAAAGGTTATTATCTTTGAGATATATAAAGTGATTTGATTTCTGCTTCAAAAAATTAATTTTGCGTAGACCAGGTCATCATAATGCAGGTGTGAATACAAAGAGAAGAAGGACAAAAGCAGTGTGCTACAGAAGTTACTTGGAAAATTAATTGCATCTGTAAATTGGACTTTGGATAGAAAACGTTCTTAAATTTTACTCTGAGATTATGGCTTAACTTATTTCATAGTAGAGAGCGGAGTTGGAGGAAGATGAATAGAAGAATATGGCATAAGGAAATTGATATGAATAACAAAAAGATAGATCATATGAGCAAGATCAGCAACATTGATTACTGGAAGCCGAAAGAAAGAGAGGGACTGAGATGTTGTTGTGAGGCTTTTTCTACACTAGAAAACTGAGTAAACTTGATTACGTTGCTCATGAGCATGTGCCAAACTGTGAACTCTTCACTAGCTTGTACTATGAAATGGTTTCTCTGTCAACTTGAAAAATAAATATAAATACCATCTAGTAATTAGCTGTGGTTGAACTTTCACAGGCTTTTTGTCATTATGCATAACATGGGCTTATTTGTTTTGTAGAATCTTAAAATCTTGCTCTTCTCTCTTAATAATTTGGAAAAATAATACTGTATTACTCCTCTTTTATATGTTAGTGTCGGGAATTGTACTACTGTGTAAAAGATAGTATGGAGCGAGCAGCAGCAAGACAGCAAAGCATTAAACCAGGTACGAGATTTTGCTTGTTGGGAACATTTGTTTAATCTGCAATCAACAAAATTTTGTAATTAATAACTTCTTCAAACATTATCACCTTTTACTTGGAAATCTTAGGGTAGTTTTGTACCTCTGTCTGTATGTAGCAGACTTAGTGTTATCGTTAGCTGGCCTCCATATACCTCACTCTAAATACAAACAAAACTCAAAACACCTGTATAAAGAAGAGTTACGTGTATGGAGGACTAGCTGCCAGTGAAATAATGACTAGAGAAGACTATGAAACTGCAGCTTCACTTTCTCTTCATGGTTGGCTAGTTACTCCTCATATTCCTGCTTGAGATGTCCACTTTGTATTGAGAATGGAGGCTAATAAATATGCTTGTTTGTGTTAATGAGTCTACAGTAATGAATCTGCAGCTTTCTGCAGACTTTCAATGCACAAACCTTTTCTATATTGGAAAGTCTCATACTGGTGCAAGTCAAAAGTGCAGTTAACCCAATGTCCTTATATCAGTATAACTTCTCCAGTGTAGACATTCTTAGTTTCACATCAGTATCTAGGACAGGGTAGTATAATTGTACTGCTGAAACTTTTCTTGGCAAACACCCCTTTCCTTTCCTTGTTGAGTCAGAAAAAAACTCTAGAAAAATGAATTTGGGTTTTGGGAGAATAAGTTCTTGGGAATGCAATTTTCCATTTTTCTTAGTCCCCAGAGAGCAGAAGGTGCTGTATGTACCTGGGTAACATGAAAGGTGTCTTATTTTATACCTTCATAAGATTTCTCCCTTGCTGGAGTCTGTTTGCAGGATCAGGATAACATCATTGTGGTTTTGTCTTTTCAAGTTTGATTTTGTTGAAACTATTTCTTTTTTTTCCAAGTGGATGCTAGGACTCTGGGAGCCATGCTTTGAGGTACAAGCCTATTTTAGGTGTGTCTTAATGCCAAATCTAAGGGATCTGCATTTTATACTCATAACTGGCATCAGCATGACTGAGAAAATGACTTGTGTTTAAATCTAGCTTCCTAGATGTTCAATCCTCAGCTAGCTGTTGGAGCTTGGAAGAGCCACCATTTTCTTCCTACTACCATTAGTCCAGTTTAATTTGAGGAGGAGGAGGAAGGACTAGACATTGACTGAAGGTAGAGCAGGCACAAGTGTCTTTGAAAGCTATTTTAAGAATTGGGCAATAATGTAGTGTAAAAAATCTGTTTGAAAGCCATTCTTTGGAGTTTAGTGTTTCTGCACAAATGATAAATTTTAAAAAATCATTATAAGAAAGCACTTTCTAGCTGAACTGAATGATGCAAAATAAACTAGGTGAAAATATCCTGTATTCAATTGTTATTGTTGTAACCATGTTGACTTTTTCATTGCTGAAACCATAAAACAATGCCGTACAAAATCATCAAGCTCACAAATGCAAGCTTAGTTTGTGCTTGAGTATGTGTTTATACTTAAGGCTATGCTGTCTGTAGTATCATGTGATTGCAGTGTCTTACCATGCAGAAATGAAACGTGGCACTTAACCAAACAAAACCCCAATATGAACTACAATAAATACAGACTGAGCTGACATCAATCTCCCTTCATGTAACCAGGGTGAAATTTGTTACGATACTTAAAATTTTGTCTAGTGGTTCTCAGAAGGCTGTCATTAGTGAGTGGACTCTAAAATGCTCCCTACTGTTCTTAATAATGTCCTCTTGCTATGCACATCAAATGGAAATTATGTTTTTATTGTTTTATATTTCCCTTCCACATATCATGACTTGGCTGACTGCTTTCTGTTCTTTCTCTCTCTCTTTCTGGATATTGTTGTTCGTTTGGTTTTGGTTTTTGGTTTTTTTTTGTTTTTTTTTAATTAACATATCACAGGACCTGAGTTGGGTGGTGAGTTCCCTGTGCAGGATATGAAAACTGGTGAAGGAGGTCTTCTTCAGGTCACACTGGAAGGAATTAACTTGAAATTTATGCACAGTCAGGTATGAGGGAAATCTATGTGAAGACTGTGAGCATGAAGCTTTTTGCAGCATGCCTGTTATATGTGTTTCCTCTTCCCAGAGTGTGAACAAGGACAAGGGATAGCATGATGGGGATAAAAAAAGCATATGAAAAAAAATGTTGATAGGTTTCAGCTTCTTGTTTCTGGTGGTCTGAATTGTCTAAACAGAAAACAAATGGTACCAGTATATTAAGGGACAGGAAAAGTGATCTATAGTAACTAAACTGCCATAATGCACTATGAACATATCCTGATGGCATAAGCAGTCAACTGTAAACGTACAGGTTTTGAATATTTCGAGTACAGAGGGCAACCTTCCGCATCATGTTTAATCTATCTTGTTTTAAAATTTGAGAAATCATCTGTAGAATTTAGCATGAAAATAAAATGGGAAAGTGGCTCTTGCTGTAATTCACAAAAATAAGAAAAAATTACTGATTCTTTTTTCCTTCCAAATAGCAGATCTTGTGGCGATAGAGGAAACACAACCAGAATTGTCATTTCTTCCTTTCTCTGGATGTTGTTTCTGTTGCTTCCTTTGATCCTTGTTTTTTATTTTGCCTTCTGTTTTTTTGGTTTGCATATGATATTAAGTGCATGCTATGCTAGACAGTAGAATCAGTTTTTAGAGGGGAGAGAGAGTGTGTGTGAGAGAGAGAGAAAGAAAAGCTTTTGTCAGTCCTCTGTGGAGTGTTTTTCCCTTTCCTCCTGACTAGACTTTTCTCCCCACACAAGCTTTGCTCTTCTTTGAGGATACATCAGTGTAGATCCCACTGGAAGTGCGTGTGCGTCTCAAACACACATGCTCAGAATCTTTAATACTTCTCCCAAGGTCACAGCAGCACTATGTGTCTCTTCAAGTTCATATGTGTCAGTATAAAGAGTGGAGAGTTGTGAACCTCCTTCAGTTTTCTTCCTGTCTATTACCAGGATAGAACCTGGACTACAACTGACCTGCTGTAGTATTTCAGACCCACTCTGTGATGGAACAGTCTGCCTGTCTTAGTTATAGATTTTAACTTTTTATTGTATATGTCAAAATACGAAGAACTGCAAGGGGAACTCATCGGTAGTACAGAATGAATTTTCATAGTTATTGGAAATGACAAGTCTAAAACCTTTTAAAATTAAACCCTGGTCTCAAAGCAACACTTTGATATCGTTATAGGTGGACATAATAGAAATCACTTTGTCCTAAGGTAAGGACACACCATAGGGAATGTTCCGTGTGCTTCTCCTTTTTCTTCTTCTGCCAGAAGTCAAAACCAACGTTGCGCTCAAACTGCTCAGCTCTTGAACAGTCCATGAAGATGACTGTATTTCATAAATAGCCAGGCATATATGCATTTGCAGTGAGAAAAGATATATAAGAAGGTAGCCACATCATCATCATCATCATCATCATCATGGTTTCTCAAGTGTAAAAGGTGTAACAAAGACACTCAGTGTTAATCACATAGTGAGCACACGTGCATCTGTCCAAAAGAAAACCTCCAAATCCTAGAACATACCTTTGTCCTTAAATCCAAAGCCTTTTTTTTTTCCTGAAAGACTGGAATGACATTCTGAAAGAAACCGTAGGGAAACCTAGTAATGATTGTTGTTATACAACTGCCAGGACCATTAGCAGTTGAGTTTTGTACCACAGATACCAAGTCCTGTGCTACCACCAGCACTCCTGCACTATGAGCTTGATCATATCCTTCCTTACAGAGAATGGTGTTTGAATTTGCTGTCTGTGACAGAAATTACTACATCTTTTCTGGAAGACAGTTTGTGCAGGTCAGACCCAGGAAGTATGCCAGCTCTCTCCTCCACCTGAAAGATTATTCCTCCTCTTCATCACCTTTCCAATGAGACTGTAAGCCAGATGAGTTTTCATTACAAGATAGATATTGAAACAGGTACGGTTCTGGAAAATACGCTTCATTTATTCAATATGTTTAATTCTTAGTCTGTTAGATTTACGTTGCCAGCTGGCAAGGGCATTCAGTACTATTTAGTGGACCTAAGACATATCCTTGTTTTCCTTCTCAAAACAAAGTGTCTAGACAGGTATCAAAAATCTGCCGTTTGAAGGTCTGTATAGAATGGACAACTGTACCAGTTATGTAAAGGACTCCTACTAGTTGCACCATACAAAAAAAAAAATCCCCTCCAATTTCATAATCTGTGGAGCTAAGGATGTTTCAATTCTTATTCTATCACTCATCAACCAGTCTGCTTTCTTAATAAAAGGCCTGCTATTCTAGATGAATTGTTCTTTCCAATTTTCATACAAATGATATGAGTTGCTCCCTAAGGCAGTTGATTTCAGAATATATATATATATGAACATGATTAAAACCAGGATCCGACAGCTGTTTCTCTGTGTTGAAAATGGCTTTTTCTGTTGAGTTTGGATGGGGATACTGACCCACAGATGCTTGCAGGACCTCATCAAACACAGCTTTGTCTTCATTTTCCTCTCCTTACTCCATATACAGGCCCTATTCTTGGCCCTCTTTCCAAGTACTCTTTTCAGCAATGCAGCTGACTAAAAGAAGGGATTTCTGTTGCTCTGCTTGGTTGAAAAAATGAGAAATAATTTGTTTAGAACATAGGAAGAGGGGTTTCCACTTTTTTAAAGAAAAGTGTAGATGGAGTCTTTTCTGTCCTACTTGAGAAGACTGAATATACTGCTTCAGTGTTAGAATGGCGCTTGCTTTCAGGAAACTGTTTTTAAAGGCTCTTGATTTGCAATGTATATACTTTCTTACTGTCTTGTGAATTCATCAGGAAACATCTTAGGTGCATAGTAGGCAACCTATTACTGCCACGTGATAGTTGTCTTTAGCATTCCCAAATTGTCTCACCATGCCAGCAGCGCACGTAAGTTTCAGAAGAAAAAATGTTTTGAGTCTATCTGTGCCTCGCAGGTCAGAGGAAGTCCTTTTGAATAGGGAGGAATCAAGTGTATTTGTGGCATTGGCAGATTATTCTAAGTTTACACCTACAAATTTTGTTAGAATATTGGGACTCAGCAACTCTGTCCCTGTTATGAATTCATCTATGTCAAAAATAGATGAAAGTTTGATAAAATGCAGCAGGCACATGCCCATCTACAGTAGGATCCACACTGAATGCTCTGTCTTGAAGAACTACAGTTTCCCTAGGGTAAGTAACTGTTATTTCCTTTACACTTGTTTTCTGATTGAGTGAGAGGGGATCATCTCTGTCCCTTAGACAGTATAGGAAGAAATTGCCCATCGACTCATGTCATCTGAAAATGGATAACTTACTGTAATTGTGACAAACTTGATAAATTCTCATCTTGCTTATGACTCTTCTGGAAATGCAGCACTTCTTAACATTATACTCAAATCATGAGCACCTGGGGCAGTCAAGCCTTTTAGGCAGCTTTACTGTTACCAAATGAAACAACCAATCTGAGCCTTTCTAGAGAGTTTCTGACTTTTATACTTTAGACTACTAGCAAAAACTTTTCACAGAAAATGGAAGCTAAATGCAATGAAGAAACTGTTCTGTTATTGACTTGTTTACTCTGTAACTATTCCTCAAAAAATAAAATGTTTTTGACAAACTAAACTAATGCAGAACATGGGCAGAAACAGGCAAACAAAAAAGCTGGGATTAAATCTCCTTTCCCTTGCGTGCTTGAATGTAAGCAGAAAGCAAGCTTCAGGTTTTCTCATTAACTAAGTGGAAGTTTAGTTTTTTATATTGAGCACAAAACCTCCTGGGTCTTTTAATTAGTTCTCTGCTGATAAAAATAATCATAAACTCCCTTTGACTTGACAATCAGCCTGACTTTTTTCAGATGTACGGTGCATTTACTGATCTCTATTGACACATACAGCCTGTTTCTTAAAAAAACCACAACAATTTCTGATGTTGACTTCCTTTGCCTGTCTTGGGTAGCTTATTATCTGTGATTACGTGGATGTTGCTAATATTGGATTCAAGAGGGTTGCAGAGTTTTGCTTTCCCTTCTTTCCAAGACACTAAAGTTTCTCTAGTAACATTTTTTTAAAACAGGTCCTGAGATTATGGTGTCATAAGTGTATAGGCACTGAAAGTATCAATCCAGGCTATTGTAATATAGTCTTGCAAGGGTCTCTGTAAGGTATTCAACATAGGCTTGCTGTGAATGTTAGGGCAATGTTACACCTAGTGTTTCTCTTGCCTTGAAAAAGCAAGTGTATTAGAAACTGAAACATGGATTTGATTCCTTATAGTACTTCCTACAGCTTCTTATGTCTGTGTACTGACTCTGACTCTTTTGGAGATGTGCATATAAGAAGGAACTGGTTTGTATCTTGAAATAGATTGAATATTGAACAAAGTTCTTATGCTCAGAGAACTTGTTTATTCATGCAATCTTGGCATCTTGGTTCTGGACTGAGAAACCTAGTCATGTAGTTCAACTGTTTTGTCTTTTGGGGTTCACGTATGTAAAACATGAGTTTAAAGCAGGTTTGTTTTCTAAGTGACTGCTCAGCTGGCAGCAGCCATAGGTGAAGTGAGCAAACAATAGAGAAGGGTCCACACTCTCCCATCCTGCTTAAAGCAGAAGACTGGTACTGACTGTTAAAGGAGACCAGTTCCAAGAGTAAGTATGCAGATTATATGTCATGAACTGTAGTAAAATCTTAAATGGCAAGGCTTTCAGGGAGAAGGAAGATCAGTGGTTCCTCATTGGATTAAGTTGACTACTGGATAGGTTAGGAGGATCAGTGTCAGGGTGGGAAGTGTAGTGCCCCTTACCTGCCCTCTGTGCTGGAGGAGGATGCATGGAGGGGCAGAAACTAACTAGGATGGATCAGAGGCTACAAATCATGTCAAATTTGGGAGCCAGCTTTTTTTCTCGTCCCCCTTTCTGTTGTATTTCAGATATGTTGGTATTCTTTTTGCAATAACTCATGTGAGTGCCTGAAGGGGTAGCAATGTTGGATATGTCAGAGTTACTAACTCCTTCGTTTCTCTTCCATGCTTTCTCCTCCTGCAAGGAGCGGAAGGTATTTCATCTTCTGCTGTCTTCGCTTCTTAGCACTTTTTAAGTTTTTTGTTGATTTCTAGCATTGTGGCAAGTTTGTCTTTTGAATATTTATTTCACCCTTTATTTATATATTAAACTGTAAATGAACTGGTAGTGTATGCTACAACACTTTAGATTGTATCTGCTGTGATGATGTTTTGTTTAATTTTGGTTTTTAGTTTAAAAAAACAAACCTGACTAATTTTATGTTACTTTTCCTCCTGTTTTTGTAGGTTTTCATAGAGCTGAATCACATTAAAAAGTGCAATACTGTGCGAGGAGTCTTTGTCCTGGAGGAATTTGGTAATTACATTATTTTGATTTTAGGTCTGTACTCACATGGCAGTAACTCAAATTTCCAGTCTTCAGATTCAGAGTTGCACTGCAGTTTCAAAGATGGGAGAGAAATGTAGATTGCATGTGAGAAGTTGCCTAACTGAGAGATGGGTGACTTAACTTAAAAATTTACACATTAATTTTCATCATATTAAGATTTGTGGCCTAGGTGCTTTTTGTTAATAGACAAAGAAGATGTTCTGAGTCTTCCGAAGCAAACAAAAGGACAGTTAAACTTGGATGTGTGTAGGAATTTTCTTTGGTATGTTCCTTTTTCATCTGAGAAACCACATTTTTATGCAGGACTTATAGCTGATCTTTCTTAACACACTATGCTTTCATTACAAAGAATTACTGTTAATTGAAAGCTTCCTCTTTGCTTTATGTGGAATTTCATTTTCGTTGTATGGAGCAGAAGATGTTTTGTCAGTTCGCACTTTATCCTGTGGTTTTTGTTTCAGAGCATGACTGGTAAAGAGTGAAAAAGTAAAGGTTAAGGAGAATAGAGAATTTGCGCTGTTCTGATCAGTTATTGGTATTACATCTAATCTGCCTACAGTCTAGTTTGGGGAAAATTCTGGGTTACTATTCAGTGTTAGTGTCAGTCGCACTATACTTAACTACTGTCTGGAATAAATGAGCAACTTCAAATGCAGCTCTCCGGAAGAGAGATTCACATACTTCTCTTGAAATAGTCCTCACGCCCATATTGGCTTATTCTTCCACCCATTTGTGAGATGTTTGCCTAGATCTTAAGTGTATGTATGAAACATTTAAAAAGAAGGTAAAATTTGCAACAATCTTTTCGTAAGAGATCAGCATCCATACCTTGGCCGTTAATCAAAATCTATATCAGCAGCTCTCTTTACCAAGACTCTCATTGTGCTTTGGTGCTGTGAATAGCATGTTCTGGCTAAGGGATTCTCTCTTAGAATATAAAAGACAGTTAATACGAGATTGCTGAAATTAATGTCTTTGTCCATAATAATGTTATCTTCTCTCGGTGATACAAAGTTATAAGGTATTCAGATGATAAAGCCTTTCTGACTATTGCAGTTTGCTTGTTGCTTGCTATAAATTAATCTTCCAGAAGTCTGGAATTTGAATTTGTGAAATTTTTTTACCCATTTTCTGAATATGTTGTTCATGGTTCAAATGATCCGGTCAGTGTATTTAAACCCTGAAAATTTCTAATAGTTTAGATGATCAGAACTTGTCTGCACTTTATGGTTGCATATTTCTTTGATAACATGTTTTCACCCTGATGGGCACGATCCATTCTACTACTTAGAGAAATTGCTTAAGATTGTAAAAAAATATTGATGAGTTTTACAAAGATAACATGAACTCTGAAGCCATAAAATTAGCTTAAAGAATGACTTCAGCTTCTGAAATCTTTAACTTGAAAGAAATTACTTGGATCAGAAATTAATTTTGGGTAATTTTTGAGAGGTTTTAACTCAAAGTATTTCTTTTAATAGTTTGTGTATGTTGCACAAGAAGACAGACAGTGTTTGACTTAGTTATTTCCAGTCAACTTTTATTTAAGCATTTAGCCCCTAAACAACAACTGTAATAACTATCAGAAAAAGAAATTATTTTTTTTTTACAGAAAATTTTGTAATCAGGGGCCTGTTGTAAAAGCCAGAGTTGTGATATGGAATTTATGAAAGGGTAGTTTTAAGAAGTAATTAAAAAAAACCCTGGAAGTTGGAAATTAAAAGCAAAAACTGAGAAATTAAACCCATTAAATTAAAAGTACCCTCCTCCCAAAACAGAAGTCACAGACAGGAACCGATTTGAATGTACTAAAGGAGATGTACAATTTGCCCAGCCAGCTAATAGAGAAGAAAAGAAGATAGATGTTGCAGGGGAGCTAACCTTTGGTTTTGGACAGAGATGAGAGACTGCCTCAGAGCTGGTTTTTTAATTGTTATAAAAATGCGAAGATATGCTGATTCGTCCTGTTCAAGAGAAATTAACATGCTAATTTGTTAATAGTAAGCTAACAGTGTTCACCAAAAACTTGAGTGGACGTTTTAAGTTATTTAGCCATGTTAAACATTGTGAACCTTGCAATCAGATTCATTATAGCAGGAGTATTCTGAAGTACTATCTCTTCTTAGAAAGGTAGTGAGTGGTAAGTAAGCATGCATACTCCAGTCTGATGGGAAATACCTCAGTGCAAAATTTGTTTATTTGATTTTGCCAAGCATGAGTGCTCCAAGTTTAGTGATACCACAGCAGGAAATCAAAGGTCTGTTTGTGTTAACGCTGGGTTTAGATGGCAGCATGAAAGGTGGAATTGTGATTTCAGAGCAGGATGCAAGCAGAAGTTCAGGAGTTGTTGCCCACAAATGGAAGTGGAGATTTAAGTAAATGAGGAAATGTAAGGCTCTTCCCTCTGAAATTTGAGTTACTGCTGTGTACTTGTGCTTTACTTTCTTGTGGCCCCTTCACCGCCGCTGCTATGAAAACCTTCATTCTCCAGCAGGTAAAGTGATGTCCCCTAAACTCATTCTGTGCTAGCGCCATATTTTCATTCACAGGACCAAAGGCTGCAGGATGGTGCTTAATAATTTACTCCCTTCATCCACTTAGCTCAACAGCATCAGGAATAACTTTTAATGTTAGAAGAAAAGTACTTCTGCTAATCTCTTAATGTGAGGCTTGGGTCTTTTTTTTTGTATGTGTTTTTTTTCTTCTTCTTCTTTTTTGTTTGTATTCTGCAGTGGTAGTGCTTTGACTTCTCAAATCCAAACCCACTCTTCTTACTCTTCCTAACTCAGTCCTTTCAGGAGAATTTTTCCCATTGGAAGGACTGTGTAGGAGTACTTTACTTAAAGACAAGGCAACTTACTGACTGTGAAGTGGGGAGACAGTACCTTGCCTAGGTACGCTCTTGTTCCCTCTCTTCCTATTCTCAGTTATGATACAGGACTTTACAGCTTCCCTTCTCTCCTTCCCTCGTGGCATAAGGTCCTTACAGCTTTCCCTTCCTGCTTTTTGAAGAGTATGTGGACAGTTGTACGTTATCCAGTGGGCAGTGAGACTTAACACAGCTGTAAAAGTCCTACCCTATTTGGCTGTGCACCAGCCTCACTCCCACTTATATCCCCTGGTGACATGGAGTTAATTTGGAACATCGGGTGCCAACGGGTAAGGTAGCTTGGATGTGCACCTCCTTATCTCCCCAGGTCTAGTCACTGGTATCACTGGGGCAGTGCAGCCTGGGTGTGCACTTTCCCCTGTTTCTCAGTCCTTAATGTAAGTGCCAACTCCAAGAAAAGAGAGAATTGAAAAATTAAAGAAAAATACTACATTACTTTTTACAATCATATTCTGTACTTTTCACTAGATTATTTTTTTTCAAGAATGACAATACCGTGACATATGATAATTAGTAGGCACTGGTTTATATTTAGAGTACTTTCTCAAACCCAGTCTGCACTGCCTACTTTTGGCCCCTTAGAGTGTGATCCGTCTCCCTCTCCAGCGTTTAGCTGTGTCATATTGTAGTTGAAAAGATGGCATCTGCATGGATAGGTTTTGTTGTGGACTTTTCCTAGTTACTCATACTGAACTCATCTGCCTCTGTTTCTTTTCTTGTCGGTAGTATTATGTGTAATAAAACATTTACCCTTCCTCCATGAATCTGGTATGATTTGGTTTTGCGTAATTTCCGTATTGCTTTTTCTAAATTTTTTTGTTGTGACACAGAAATTCCATGGCAAATTTCAGCTATTCTGGAAGGGAAGTGTTCAAAGTTGGTCTTGGTATTCCACTGATCTTAATACTTTAAATTTGCTGTTTGTATGTTCTTTGTGTGATCATTGTTCTCTCCTGGTGATTTCCCATGGTATCTGTTCACAACAATATTTATAGACCAAGTGTGGATCAAAGGCACAGTTTGGATGCAATCACACTAATGAGATGATTACAGCTTGCTTTTTTATGCATTACACAATGAGAACAAAAGGCAAATTTTCTTTAGTTATATTATGTCTGTTTCCTTTCTGTTAGTTTGAGGCAGCGTAAGGGAGCAAGATGAAATGTTCTGGATAATAGATTCTTTTTGGTCAGTGCCCTAATCCTCTTTATATATAAAAACCTTCTAGAAATCAACAAGCCTGGTATTTTAAGAATACATGTAACTGAAATCAGTGTTTTTATTTTAAGGCAACTTGTTCAAAAGCAATGTTTTCAGTGAGTATGTCAAGTAAACACCATCACATACATCATAGACAGGAGAAAGAATATCTTGAAAAACTCTTGAAATAAAACTGGGAAACAGTCTTCCAGTTTAGAAAATTTTCTCTCTCAGCTCCTTTTTTTTTCCCTGGATTTCACTAACTTACTACAAAGTGTCCAACAGTTCTTTTGAGATCTGTTATTCAGCAGAGAAGGATTCAAACATCAAAAACCACATGCTGACAAATTCCTATGGAATTGTTGGTTTATGTTTTATTGTAGTAGACATTATGCATATTTTGTCATTAAGCATATTTTGTCATTAGTTTTGCTGTCTAGGAGGAATAAGTAGTATGAGAAAAGCCAGAGTCTCTAAGAACCATCAAATATCTACTATGGTTTTCCAAATAGAGGCAGTGAAATACTTTTGCCAACCTGGGTAATTTGTTATGACATTACCAGTATCTTCAAGAACATATGTAATGTAAATGAAGAGAAGGAAGAGTATCTAGAAGTGAGGGATAGTGAGGTGCCCTGTACCTCCACCTGCTGTCTGTGTGCATCCCTTCCCTTTCCTATGGGTACATTGTGCTATTTCTTTCCCCTTTTCCTCTCGTTTTTTGAACTTTTTGTTTTGTCTCTTGCCCGTCCGGTTTTAGTTCCTGAAACTAAAGAAGTGGTGAGCCACAAGTACAAGACGCCAATGGTGAGTCAACTGTGATGCCTTCTGGTAGTTGTTTAGAGGATGTATCTTTAGATTTTTGTGTGGCGAAAAGAGTTATGTTGAGATTGCAGGATTTGCAATGCTAATGCTGCAGTGAAACACCAGCTGCTTCGTTATGATAGTTTTCCGTAAGGGAAGACAACAAAACTTGGTGATTGTTGTTTCTGTGAAACTACAGGAACTCACAGGTAGTGCAGAAAGTGTGGTCTCTTCTGTTAAGATAAAGATGCAAAGTACCTGATTTGGTCAGAACTTTAGCACAGTAAGAGCTAGTGAAGCTGTTAAATTTAAGACGGTGCAGACCACAGTCCTTAATCCACAGAACAGATGGAAAGGGAGACTAGTTCCTGGGCATGAAATGATTGCTAACTGACTTTATGAAAAATTCCCATTTCCTCATGAAAGCGAGCAGTGACATGCAAGAGAATAGTGTAAGTATTGATTCCTGCCATATAGGTGAGTTATTGCTGTGGTTTAGTGTTCAGTTTTTATAACGTTTTTTGAACACCAGCAGTTGATAATGATACTTAGCACTTTTACAGATAATAGTTCAGTGATCAGGCTTATATGCACTTAGGAGGAAGAAATAGAAGCCAATGATTATCATCAGAACTGAAATTTCTTCAGTTATTTTATATCTGAAGTATAATGTGTACATTTGTTGATTACATGGAAACTCACCGTCCTTCAAGAGGAGAGACAGAGAGATTACTTGAAGAAGCTAGAAATGTTTTAGAAAGAAAATACTTAGAATATACATAACTTAAGAAGCAGATAGTTGTATCTTTTAATAAGAAAAGCCAGGTTAATGAAAATTAATTGTATTTTATACGAGTGTTTTAGCTGTACTATAATACAACAAAACATGTTGTTATGCTTATTACCTTTAGAAAGATTATAAATATCAATTTACAGGACAAGAACTTTTAAGATCACAAGAATAGCCAGTGTTAGAATTGGGATATAAACTAAGTCCAAGTCTTGTGCTGCCAGTCTCATGCTAAAAGAGAATTTTCTGTTAAATAATTGCGCAATTAATCAGTTAAAAGCAATAATCGTAAATCTTGCTAATGCTATGTGAAACCCTCAGCTTTAAGGTAGTGACAGAATTGCTTGATATTCTTCATATGAAACATGCTATGTTGGGTTGTAGGGGTTTTTTAATTAAAAAAAAAAAAAAAGAACAGAAAAAAAGCAAGCTTGTATTATCCATGGATTCACTAGTGTTAGTTAAAAATTACAAGGATTACCAGTCCTTGTATTTTTGAGCATAAAAAGATAGTTGTGAATAAGAAAGAATTCCACCATCTCATGAGTCGTGGTACAGTATTGGATGTTTAGTTTTAGTCCTTTTAGTTAGCTCTTTCATCTCCTCCCCAAAAATGTCTTGTAACTTCATACAACAGACCAAAAGCCGATATGTAGGATGTTTTTTCTAAAGCCAGCTGGCCAACTTTCTAGCTTAGCATACTGTTCTTAAAAATTGTTAATACTATCAAGCAACTAATGGTTTTATCCCAAAGGAGGTTTTTTATTTTTTATAATGCTTTTCTTCTCTAGCCATCTCAGTTAGAAGGTAGTATGGAACACTTTTGCCTGATTTTATCTATAGTAGTTGTCCCGTGGGGGAAGACATGCAGCAAAACAGAAAATGTGCAGTGGGTTTTGTAAAACACTAAATCATGTGAATTTCATTATTTCCTTTTCTAAATTCTTGTAGGCTCATGAGATCTGCTACTCCGTGCTGTGTCTCTTCTCTTATGTGGCTGCCGTTCGTGGAAAAGAGGCAGAAAACAAAAGCAAACCACCTCGACCAGTTTCCAGTTGATCGTGATATTGGGAAATACCTACTCTTTGGCACATTGACGTGCAGTACTCCCATTTTTACTGCAGTTCCTGGAGCTCACTTTACTGTCTTCTATGAGAACTTGATTATTTATGTATGACCCTGCAAGTCTTTCCCCATAGAAAAACCTAAGACTCAACTGCCCAGTCTCCTTCTGAATTCATCCTTAATGGAGTTTTTATATGAGCTGTTAATCAGACAGTTTTGAGCATCAGCATCCAGCTATGAGTGACCTACTCTGGCCGTTCTTGGAATTCCGTTTTTCTTAGGATGACTAACAGCTTGAGTTGGGTTGTTTTTTTGTTTCTAGTGGTATTTGTTACAGATTAATCACTTTACAACTGCAGGCTTCTGCTTTCAGATTCTCTGGTATGTGCACAGTGGAAGCAGTCTGGTCCTGTATGTTGTTTAAATGTTGTGTTTTTATTGTTTTCCTTCTGTGTTGTTCGTTTTTACCCACCCACATGAAGTTCTTGTCACATAGTTCTTCAGATCCTTTTGGTAGAGATGAACAATTTAGCTACCATAGTCTTAAAATACCATGTGACAATTGAAGTTTGGCTATTAAATTGATCCATCTGTGGAGATGACTGCTTCTCAAGTGGGAAAAGAAGTGGAGAGAGAAACTTTGAAGGCAATATATTGTGAAACACCCTGACACCTCATGGATCGTGTGGATTTTCAAATGAGAGTTTAGGTAAAATTTGTAGATATCCCAGCAGTAGAGTGAACAGATACATATAAGCACTACCTAAAGCAGTTAATCACAGGGATTAGAAAACTAATAAGGAAACGTAAAACTTGGAAACATTATTGGCAGAAGCATGTAGCAGACCCAAGTCTTTCTGGCTTTGTAACTATACTCTACACAAGGTATTTCTATAGCAATCTGCAGAACATGCTCAGAAGCCCAAAGGATTATTCTGTCTCCCAAGTTTTTAAGCTATTGCCTTTTTTTCAATCTGTACCTGTTATATCAAGGAATCTTACAAATGCTGTGTTGATGTACAATGGAACTCCCACAGTTAAAACTATCCATCACATTCCTTATTTTAAGTAGGCCGAATATGAATGTTCTTTGCATCCTGTTTTTGTTCTTGAACTGTACTGCACTTGTCTGGAAAGCTCTTAGGATGCTGGGAGGAGAGACTGTCTAGAGAAAATAATGTTACATGTAAAATACCTGGAAAAAATGTTCTGATGCAAACTGACATATTGTATGTTTTGACATAGAATTCTGAGTAAATGCACCCAGAAATAACCCCGTTGTGGCTTGGTCAGGGTATCTACCATTTTGAATGGAATATACTAGTAGTGGGTGAGGAAATGATGTAAATAATATAGTACCACATCTATTTATAGAAACTGTACAGCTGTCTGAATGTGAAAATAAAATGTCATTCAACCAGCAACTGGTTTTCATCCTCCTGTGCTTTTCAATTGATACAATTTATTCTGAAATTAATTTAATTATATACAAAATACATCGTACACATATATGGAATGATGAAAAAAGACTATAAATAGAAAATTTATATTTTTTCCCACATAAGGAGTTTTTGTTTTGTTTTTTTTTTTCTTATAACAGCTATATAATTTGTCTTTAAAAAAAAAGTGTCTGAAAAACACTAATAGGGGAAAACAGACACATCTGAAATACTGATTTTTTTTTTTGCACTCATGCAAATGTAAAGGGTTTTTCATCCTTTTTTAATACAAAGATAAAACTGAAATTGGCAAACCCTGGAATTAGCCTGTTTTGTATTTACTTTATTTTCTTTCTTTTGTCTTCTGAGACTGTAAATTTTCTTATAGTAATATCTGAATTTTTAGCAATTGTAGTATTCTCGATACTTCTATATTACAAGTATGGTTAAGACTGAAATCACTTTGGTCTACAATGGATGTTCCATTTATTGCAATACTGGGTCCCACTTTGGTAGGCAATATTAATTCTAAAATTGTAAATATTATGTTAGCAGGCCTATTAACATACTTGGATGAGTTAAATTAAAATGTAAGGGGAAGATTAGAGTTTAAAATAATTAAATGCCAGTATCACTTACTATATACAGCTCCTGTTTTTTTCCCCTGTAGAAGCTGCATTTTTGCAAGAGTATTTTTCCGTGACTTAAAATCATACATTACATAGTGCTGTATGCTGTAGTCTGCTGAGAAGCTTCAGCCCAGAATAAGACTTTTAAAGAGCCTGATAATAAAAATGGCCCTCTGTCCCCTTTGACAGATTTTTTATTTTTTTAAAGAGCAGGTGTGGCTAAATAGTTATAGCACTTGCTGTTCAGTGTCAAGGAAGAACCAGTAACAGCCTCAGCAAGTGGACTGATTACTGGGCTTCTGCTCTTCAGGTGAGACAGCAACTGACTTGGCTTCAAAATTGAAGCAATTTTTGAAATGTACAAAATCTTTCTTGTACTTGATGATGGTGACTTGGCAGGTGTTCTGCTGGCTGTGGGAATGTAGCATATTCACCTGAGACAAAGGCATGTCGTGCAGCATCTCCACTACACAATCCACAGTGCTGATCCCTGGATACCAGATCGGGCAGTCGGATTTATGGTTGGTATAAAAGCGTAAGTCTTTTGGAATGCAGTCTTCTATCCTTTCTTCATCCTTTGCTTCATCGCTCCTAAGCATTGAGAGGTACAAAATCTTTACTTTGGAGGAAAAAAAAATAATTATAGTGATTTGCACGTTTTTTGTCATGTCCCACTTGTTTGATCTTTAGAATTCCATAGCAGCAGTAAGAACTTAGAGGCTTCTAAACCTCCCAGAACCAAATGGAAGACTAACTGAGAATAATTGGTAATAATAAATAGTGCTAGAAGATTCTTAAAGCAAAATGAAAAATCCTTCCGGTTTTACCACTAGGAGTAGCCTGTGTCTTAGTTTTGAAATATTTCAAGATAACAACAACCTTTTTAACACTTGTGATATCTGCAAGGCACTTACACAAATATGAATTCATGAACTTGCCTTAAAACTTAAGGTGTTTGCTTATCCCGAACAAGTTTATTTTTCTGCTACAATTCCTTGTTTGTGGAAGTTGGTTTTCAAAATGACCATCAGTGTTCTCTGCAAACGCTGGGGTTTGTGACTAGTCTTTCTGGCAGTTTTCAGAGTGGAACCAAGGTTACTAATTTATCTGTCTTCTGGATCGCAGATCTTCATTGTGAAGTTCCATAAAAAGGTCCTCGTTTTGCTTGTGAACGCCATGTCAGTTTCCAGTGTAAGTGAGTCCACGTTCTAAAGGTTTTAACATCCGTGAGTGTTGCAACAATGGTATTTATTAAGTGATATTTATTAAAGATATCTTTGGAAAAATCTTTGAAGCTGTCTGCTGAAGGAAAGAGTTCATTGCTTTAAGAAAACCATTGTAAAAATTTCCTACACCCTGATTCCTGGCTTTAGATAATCTCTACCCTCCTACTTTGATGCTTTCAGAATAGCAGAGTGTGTAAGATAAAATGTTCATCTGGGCATTAAAAAGCTAAATTGCTAGTAAATGTAAATCATGAAGAACTTTGATTCCAACTAAGTTCTACCTTAGTGATCAAAGTGGATGGAAAAATGTGGCTATGATTCTAAGCTTTCTTAGGAACCTTTGTGTTGCAAAGGTATTGAAGATGTTCCCAGGATCATGCTGCTTATGCCAGAGGAGGGCTTTTGGTTCCCATTGAATGTATTGTCAATAGGGAAGCGGTTGTTTAGAATGGGAACAAACTAGCCGCTTGCCCCTGTGTCAGGCATACGCTCCTGTTCACCGCTGGATTCAGAACTAGACAGAACATAAGAGCTAAGCTGTTCACAAAGAGCAATATTTACACCCTCGTTCCCCTTGATTGCCAAATGGATGAAAGTCAGAAGATGTTGCCACTGAGGTGAGATCTTCCTTCTGTGAGAAAAATGGCTTCTGGGGATGGCTCTCAAGCTGGGGATGGCCCTGATGGTTCACAGTATACCTGCAGGGAAGAGTCTGCAGAATAGAACAGGGGTCCTTGGACATCACTACAACAGAGAGAACAAAAGAAAGAGGCACCCAAAACCTCTTTTGAGACCCAAGTTTGGAAACAGTATGCATGGTCAGGCGAGTGGTGGTGAGGATCAGCATCATAACTGATGCTCGAGAACGTTTTCTCTTGGTCTATCCTGCCCATCTAGGTGCAGGCAAAAGAAGACAGCCTCCAACCTTCCGCCGTCCCCCTCTCTCAGCACCATCCCAGCCCTGGCAACCCTACCTTCAGTACCTTAAAAATGGCATAAAGAGGAGCAGCAGCCACACTTCCCTCTCCCTGCTGTGCTCAGTGAGATTTTCTGATATGGCACTCCGATGAACTCATGGCACTGGTGGCATCTCAACACCTTTGTTCTGGGGCTGCAGCCAGCCCTGTAATCCATACACTCACTGTACAAATTGTAATCAGGTTCTGCAGATGCATGCCGTCTTTGTGTGGGGCTGTTATCCCAGGAGAGGGAACGTCAGCAAAACCTTCCTGCTGACAGGACATCCCAATTCACCACAAGGCTCTGAAGGCAGAGTCGAGTGCAGGAAGGAGGTGACAGAAGTGCCTTCGCTTTGTGCCTTCTCATTCAAGCTGTGTAGAATTAAAGACAGGTGCCTTTGCTGCCCATGTGATGGCACTATTCGAATACGCTTTTTCCCTTCTGAGTGCTGCGGTTTCACTTTTGTCTTAACAAGCACGACTTCTGGATATTTCCAGTATGAATTGTGCAGGATAAAAGAACAAGAACATAAAAGCTTGCGAGGGGACGGACTGAGCGGCTGGGGCTCCAGAGGAACGAACTGCCAACAGGGAGCGTGGCAGGTCAGTGGCACATTGACGGGATTTCGATTGCACGCCAGTGGAGGGAAGCCAGAGCACCAACAAATTGCAAGCTGAGGGTGCCTGGATTCAAACAGCATGCCAACATGAAAGGCCAAAAGCATGTGAAACACACCAACAGACGAGTGCAGACTGCAAATCGAGGGAGTTCATAAATCAATGCGCCAACACAAGTGTCCAGAAGCCCAAACAACACAACAGCAGAGGGAAGACAGACTGACAACAGGGTGCCAAAGGACAGGAATAGATCACACATGGTGCAGCAACAAGGGAAGAAATGGAGCAGCTACACTGTGTCAGCCCACACGAGCTGCGTTCTGCTGGAAACCATTCAGTCATCGATCGCAGATATCAAGAAACAGTCTTCTGGACAAGCAGAAAAGAATTTTTCCTTTCTCCAAGTGTGTAGAAAGGAGAGTTACAAAGGGATAGTCCGCAGGAAAACAGTCTCCGAATGTAAAAGTGAGAGGAAAGTTGTACCTCCAGTAATCCTGAAGCTAGAAAATGCTGCAAGAAATGAGGAGGGAAGAGTAGGTACTTGTTTAGGGAAACTGCTAGTAAAATAGCTTGGGGTATTGGTGTGGATGAGAAGGAAGAGTGCCTTGGGCACATTCAAGAAGGGAATTTTCTTCAGGTGACCTACTGCGTCCCATGGCAGCCACTCCACTGAGGATGGCTGCTAAAACGGGGGAATTGACCAAACACAGTTGCAGAGCCCACCAACCCAGCTCTTGTCCCTCATCACTGGTGCCCATAGCTGCTATTCCAGCCGTTCTGGTAAGTAGAGAAGCATCTTTCCCTTCCTGGACTTTGCAGACCTT